TATGCCCCGGGTTCCCCTATAATTTACTCTGGTCTCAATACAGTAAGTCAATCTTTTTTAGTTCGATACAGGAGAATAAGAATTATTGAGTTTATTTTGATACTGTCTTATTTTAATACTAAACGAGATTGTGAGAAAATATAAATGCGTCAAGAATACTTTTTGTCTCGGTAACAGAAGTCCTTTCTGTGGGTGCAGGCATCTGAACGAAACAATCGCGGATTAACGCTTACTGCTTACAGCCGAGCGTATTTACAAGTTTACAAATATACAGATCGGTGGATGTTCACTTGAGAGTCTTCCGCCGCGGTGCGACACGGTTGGCTTTAATAGGATATTTTCGGGCGACGAGGGCTTCCTACGAACGCACGCGCGTGTCTTCCGCTCGTGTCGCAAACGTTACGCGACCAATTCGACTTTTCCCCACCCGCGCGCACGTGGGAACGTTATTTGCATTCGCGAGCATGTTTCTGCGCCGTCAATTATCGCAATTGTCACGGCAATTGCGAATCACGTGCGTTAATATCGCGCGCGGACGGAATATACGCCGGAATATATGCAACACATCACGGAAGTGTAATTAACGATCGCTGGAACCACCGCGGCGATTATCAAGTCGCGAAGTTTAACGGCGAGAATATATGCATAAACGATTTCTCGGCGAGCGTTACGTAAGCCGATTTATATTTAATAGCGCCGCGTCTTGCGGCGCGCGCGCGCGCGCAGTATGAAATAACAGCAATTTTATCTTCTGGACCGCATTGGTAGTTACGTAAGTAAATAGGATCGACACATGTCAATTTTGACGAGCGATAAAACCGATCATTCCGATCGTGCGCGCGGGACCGTCTGGAAAAACAACGAGGAGGAAACCCGTCGCAAGAACCGCCTACTATGGAATGAGACGAGAACACCGACAACGAGTGACGCCGCAGTTTTCCTGCCCGCGAACGATTGTATTACGACGTGTCTAATTAACACGCTTTCAGCGGCCCTCGCGCCTTTTCAGCGCGACGCGAGCGCAAAGGCGGCGCCGTCCCTCGATATATTTACACGTAAATTATCTTATCATCTTATCGGTGGCGCGCACACCTTGCATAAACCGCGGCAAAACTATACCTCCCTACGGCGCGCACCGTCTATAAATACGAGCCTCGAGGACGATGAATAATGTCAGCGTGACGAAGTCGCGGCGAAAGAAGACTCGTCGCGCGCGATCGATTAATAATAGCCGGGACTTCATTAAAGTCGAGATTCGCGCGCGGTTAATATCCTCCCTCTCCCCCCCCCTCGAAAATATTTTGTCGCGATAGACTCGGAGTTGATTGTTCCAGCCTCTTGGGAAGTCAACTAATTTTATACGCAGAGGAAAAGATTATTTATCTTTTGAAAACACGTTTGGTCTCAACGTGAAAATCTCGCAATGAGATTGCATCGCGTTAAAGGAAGAAAAGCTTGCTTGAATGGGGCAGTTTTACGTAATTCAATGGAGAAACCGATATGCCTATAATAATTTTCTTGAATGGACAGGGAACAATATCGGATAGAGAACGGCGTATTTTCAAATCGAGGATTGTAGCGTTTAAAATGATTCTCTTGTCGAAATAATTATATTCTTGAGAAGTGACAATCGCAGTATTGCAGCAGGTCGGAGGAACCGGCCCTCGATACCCGCGACCGACGAGACCCGCTCGAAGCGCGAACGCCGCGCGCCGCGGCGTGAGGCGGCGGTTGTGAAACCGCGGCGACGCGCACGGAAGAGGCGTAATCGTATTTATATTAACGCCGATAACGACGCTCGATAGTCGAGGTGATGCCTCGTTGAGCTACTGTAATCACGTTCGCGTACACGTGCCCCGTGGTTTCTCCGAGCAGGGCGAGCCATGCGCGCCCGAGTCGGGTGAATCCCGTCGGTAAACCGTGAAACGAGGCACGCTACCTATTACCGCGGCTGATAGGAATAAATCGGAGAATCGATAGATCAATCTGGATAGAGGAGCCGATTAAGCGTGCCCGCCTCCCCCCCCCTCCCCTCCTCCCCCCCCCCGTCCCGCCGTCCGACGCGCGCGACGGGGTCGGCGACGATATCGCAAATCTCAATGCCGATTATATGCGTACATAACTCAGTTTTATTTCGCGATAATACGGTCGTTGAATCAGCTGACGCGGCAGCGCCGCGATAAAATTACGAAACTGCCGCAATAAAATTAACCGCGCGAGTATTAATTGACGGGAAATTTCACGATTACACACGCGCGTTATTACAACGAACTGGTTGCGGATCCGACTGACGTGTTTGTATTTTCTATCCGGAGAATAGTAAGACAAATACGTCGCCGCGGAAAGAGACGTGGAGGAAGCTTTTCGACCGGCGGGCATTGTTTCGAGGAAACAATTCGATACCTTCGATCTTCGCGTATGTCAGTACGTCTTGAATTAAGACGATAATTCAATCGACAAGCGTTACTTTAAGAAATAATTCCTCCGGTAAATTCGGAGACAAATTGGCGAAGCACCTCTTCGAGGTTCAATTCCCCCCCCCCCCCCCGATTTTCGTGTATCTTAGGAGAAATAGTTTCCTCAATAAACTCGGAAACAAATTAGGTACAGTCTTATTCATTCTTAATGCCTGGGCCAGCATTTTTATTAAATGGCAACTTGCTGACGCCAGTCGAGGAATCAAGAATTTGAATAAGTGTGGAAACGACCTTACTGGCAATTCTTTATTATAATAAATCACAATTGGTTTGTTAATTTAGTTTATATCTTGTTTTTCTGTCCCTCAGACATCTGTAGGTACTTTTGTAAGTCCGTTACCTAAAGAGGACTACTGGCCGAAACGTTGTGATTTGTTATAATAAAGAATTGCCAGTACACCCTCAGAAAGGATTTCTGTTATTGATAGAAAAAGTATTCTTGACGCATTTATATTTCTCGCAACCTCATTTGGTATAAAAATAAGACAGTATCAAAATAAAATCAATAATTCTTATTCTCCTCCATCGAGTCAGAAAAGATTGACTTACTATATTGAGACAAGAGTAAATTATATAAATGTAAATTTATATATTCTTGCGTTTAGAATAAATCTTCCCTTCATCTTACACCGCACGAAGTTGGCGCCACGATATTTCGACAAGAGACGATACTGTCATTTTATTCTAGATCTAGATTTGAGAAATTTCTCTGTAATAAACGTGATTGGCGCTGTATCGATCCTATTTTATGATACATTCAAGAGTAATAGCATTGGATCCAGAAATTTGTTCTGTGGGCGTAAGGTCGTCTCCACACTTATTCAAATTCTGCATTTATATCGTTATCTGTACAAATTACTGAGTTTCAGGCTGTATGTTACCACCCATAGACATAGTAAATATAGACTGAGCGTCCCATTGAATAAGCTGAAGCTCGTGAAGAGCGAGACAGAGAAGATTTAAGAAGACTTTCTTTGTCTGCCTCACCATCGTGACAAAGGAAGAGCAGGCATGATTTTCTTTTACGATAATGTAAGACGGAGAAAGAAAGTCTTCTTAAATCTTCTCTCTCTCTCTCTCTCTTTCTTCACAAGCTTCAGCTTATTCAATGGGACGCTCAGTCTATATTTACCATGTCTATGGTACCACCACAGACTTCTATATGGAAACGAACTACAGCCTGAAACTCACCGATGTATAGATGGGATTAAAGATTATGAAGATGTGAATTCTAGTAAAACTGAGGCCCGGGCATTAATGAATAAGACTGTACCTTCGATTTTCACATCAAATAAGAATCCATTCGCTCTCGCGCATTTTAGATAAAACATTCTTCCCGACGGAGGAGAAATCGGACGAGGAAAAGGTTCACACGGCAATTGCCTTCGAAATGTCGATAACGTCCTACGGTGATAAATAGCCACGCAGTTACGGATTAATTGCCGTAATAGGAGAACGCGGAAAGTTGACGGGTCACTGCATCACGGTCGCTCTTATTTACATGGAGATTAAATACTCTCTTGGCTCCCATTGCAAGCTATCCTCAGGGTCGAGCTGACATCGCGCACTTAAACGTTGCTCGCGCTTAGAATTGAGGTCTCTAAGATCAGTTTCAGAAATTTCCGTTCAGAAACGTCGCGTAATACGATCGAATGTCGAGTCGAATGTGCACTAATCGTCTCGGAGAATTTAATCTCGAAAGATTTATAATCTCATTTAATCGCAATTCGTAAAAAGCGTCTATCTGTATCTTCTTAATAGCAATCAGAATATTTCTGCGATAATTCTGATTAAAAGTGACAACTTTATGACGAAGGATATTTAAAAGGGCCGAAAAAAAGAAACTTTTGTGAAATGAACGAATATAAATAGATAAAGAAAATAGAAATCCCGTTCGATTGATTTGATTTCATGATAATTTAATAACAATGGAAATAGCTTGATAGAATGATTGACTGAAATGTCCTTAAACCTGCCAAGAAGCATCGCAGAGTTTTCAAAGATCCAAATATCGTGTTTCTTCCCCCGGAATCTTAATTTTCTAGAATCCAATTAAGTAACAAATCCTTACTGCCCCGTTGGAACTAGAATTTTATTTCATTTAGCGGCAGAAATGTTCTTTTTCGAATAAAAATTGTATTCCCCAGATTTTAGTTACAAAAACTTTCATCAAATTTTCAAAAGATTCGGCCTCGATTCGATTCCAGGAATCTGTTATTCAGATATTTCTACGATGAAATGTATGCATGAGCTCAAAAAAAATGCATTTTTCCCATATTCTTCAAAATTCTATACGCAACTCGAAACATTTTTTATATTATCTATTTTCTGTCCTATCATGTATTATATATTTTCGTGTGAAAATGTTGCTTTTCCTCGCTAGAACTCACCTTTCGAAAAATCTAAATTATGTTTAAAAAGCGACATATCTAGCACAAGTGAGTAAATGGCTGTAAGTAACGTTTACATCGAAAAGAGAAAATTGTTGAAAAGCCGGTACGTACAAATCGTAAAAGCGATACGCGTATCGTTATCGGAGACAATTTGCAATACTTAGTCAATTTGCAACAAAGTGATACTCTTATCAAGTGCTCACGTAAATTACGCTACTTGCGTAAAACAGAAATGAAAGATAAGAGAACAGCATAATCTTGATAAGAGAGCAGCAAGGTCAGAAACGTCAGAATCTTCGAGTTCGAGTCCGTTTCGGAGACAAAATAAAAAAAACATACTAAACGAATCAAGACACATACACTGATAACTTGTGAGAGCTGAAAAACAGTGATGGTTATAACATTTTTCCTCGTTTTTAACTTTTAGTCTTTCTTACAGTAACCATTACGTACCATTACGTACCACTACAGTAAGCATTCTCCCAGTAATCAGTACGGATTTTACAATAACTATTACGGATTCTACAGTAATGAATATTGTAGATCAACTGATTGACTGTTACTTACTAATCCAGTATTGAATCAGTACTGTATTTCCACAATCATCACGATAAAAGTAATGGTTTTGGTACAAGATTTTATTGAAAATAAAAAACTTTTCCACTAGTTCTTTTTTCTAATTTTTTTTATATGTGGGATTCTAACCTAAGATTTCGGATTACTCTAGTACGCTAACACTGAGCTAACTATTTATATGTATATGTTTTCTACCCTACTGTTAGGCTACATATTATTTACATATTATTTTAATGCTGGTGGTCAACAGTAATGGTTACGGAATTGCACATCATTCAATAATAAAATTGTTCAGTAATCATGTTTTCTTTAATACAATATCGCTTACAACTTTAGTCGTTAGATGGTATTGTATTTTTCAGCAGACATTTTTTTTTTAAGTAAGCATTTGCGTATTAAGATTAAAAGTTGAGAATGAGCAAAAATTTAGAGACTATTACTGTTTTTCGATTCTCAGTGTAGGCAGTCGTGCGATCACGGAATACAAAACTACCGAAACACCAGAAATCGAAGTAAAGTAAGTCGAAAGTTTGCCGGAGGTTCAAGTTTCCGCGCTTCTTCCAACAGATCGTACGTACCCGAAACTCGTGGAAGCCTTTCAATTTTCGCGAATATTCATATCGCGCCAGGCGCGATTATCGGCCGAACGTGTTCCGACGTTACAAAAGAAACATCCGAACGCTGCTCGGCCTTACGTTCACCTTCTCGCGTGAAGGCGGGTGGCCATTAACGAGGAAGAAGAAGACTCCGCTGTTGTACGCGGAAAGAAGCCCAATCAGATACTGGATACGCCTCGCAAATTGCCGGCCAATTATCCCGGTTCTCTCGCACCGTCTCGAGACGGATCGATCTACGAGCGAGCGAACGCAGGCTGGTTTCCGTCGAGCCGCGCGCGTACGCCGCGATGCGTCACGAGCGGAGGAGCGGAGACGTGCGACGGTCTCGCGGCCGAGGAGGAAACGAGGAAAACGCGATCTCCGGATGTGTGTTGCCGTTCTCGAGGATTTCGCGCGGTCGACGCGCGTGCGGGAGGACGTCCGAAGCGCCAAGTTATCCTTCGAACGGGGATAGGAATCAAAATTGTAGCTCGAAACGCGAGGAACGTAAGGCAGAGGAAGGTCTGCGAGTCGCTCAACGCCTGGTTTCACCAGCGTCGCCTAACTTTAAGCTTATTGTTAGATTAATTTGTCCTTCGTCTCTTTCCAACTGTTACTTTAGAAGAAAGAGACAGACGTGAATTAAACCAAGATTAAAGTTAAGCGACGTTTGGCGAAACCGGGCCTTAGGCCTTCTTTGTCTCTTTCCAACTGTTACTTTGGAAAGAGGCAAACGTGAATTAAACTCAGATTAAAGTTAAGCGACATGTGGCAAAACCGGACCTTAATCGTAGACGTGAGGCAAGGCAGAGAAAAACTCGAGTCATATACAATAGCGTTTCACGACTTTTCATGTTTGTCTCTTTCCAATTGTTACTTTAGAACGAGACAAACGTGAATTCAAGTAAGATTAAAGTTAAGCGACGTTTAAAAACTGGGCCTAAGTCGGTCTTATGTCCACTTTCGACCAATGCAGATTAGTTTTAATCCCTGTCTATCTTTTTCCAATTCCTGAGACTAGAAAAAGATGAAAAGTAAGTCAAACCGAGATGGGTAGCAATGGGCATTAGGCCCGGTTTCATCAACGTCGCTTTACTTTAAGCTTAGTTTAATTCGTTGTCTCTTTCCGACTGTTGCTCAAGAAAGAGACAAGCATGAATTAAACTAAGATTAAAATTAAGCAACATTTGGTGAAGCTGGGCCTTAGGTCCGGTTTCACCAA